TAGCTTTTGTGGTTCCCGAGTTGAAAGTGCGGGACAAAATGTGGGACACACACACAGACAACCCTGCGACAATATGCATTTTGTAACGCTGTTACACAGCACAAAACGCATAAAAAGAGCCTGTTTTGAAGGTATCAGACAGCAGTGCGCAGACTGGCATTTGCGGTGAAGTATACGAATCGAAAAGGCTATTTGGATGATGTTATACTGCTCGAAAATCTCCGCCAAAGGCTTCTACCGTAAGTTTTTTATTACATTTTTCTGGATAGTTTTTGCTTGGGACGCTCAGCGATTCGAGTATTTTCATAGATTTTCACAACAAAAGAATTTCGGCTTCAAAAAATGAAAATTCGCCAAGAGCATTTTACACAGAACGCTTCTCGCGCAGAGGCATAATCGGCGGAAGAATCGATTTTTTTTTTGCATTTTTGCAAAATTGAGAAAATATACGGAAAAGAAGTGTTCTTGTCTGCTTTGTATGTATGTCAGTGAACAAACAAACGAGATATTTTAAATTCCGGATGAATAATTCTTTGCTCTTAGTGGTCCAGAACTCTATAACCATACCGGTATCGGTAGTGAATTTTTGAGGAAGCAGAATATGGCTAAGTTTTTACCATCAGTATATCTGAGAATGTGTTGCAAAAGGAAGAAGGTGCTAGTAGCAAAGAAACGATGATGGTAGCTAAACCCCTTCGCGTTGCCCAGTTGCCCTTCGATTCTTTGTGGTATGCAAATGTCTCTTGACTCGAGTTCCCCTCCGTGATATTTAATGCGGTAATTAAAAATGAACTTAAAATTGTTTTGTGGCACTTAAAATTGTGCGGCGGCAGCTTGAAGCTGATGCCAAATTCCTCGAGGTTTGTTTTCCTGATTTTTATGCGTTTTGTGCTGTGTAACAGAGTTACAAAACACGTATTGTCACGGGGTTGTCTGAGTGTGTCCCACATTTTGTCCCGCACTTTCAACTCGAGAACTACAAAAGCTAAGCGACTGAAATTTTGGTATAGTGTTCCCCGCCAACGGACGTCTAGGCAAATTTAAATTCAGCCTTCCCTTACTCGCGGGTAACACGTACGGTCCCGTGAAAGTTTTTTGCGGGTAAAATTAATATCTCGGGAGCCACGTGGTCAAGGAAGCTGAAATTTTAGGGTAATAACCCCCTCCCCACGCTCAACCTTGCTTATTCATATTCAGTGTTCTCGCGCTCTTGATTATCACCCACGGTGAAAATTTTGGCGGGTAAACTACGAACTCGGGAATCACGGAAAGATATTCACCTTTCAAGGTTTCGAATTCAGTTTTCATGCGCTGGTGCGTGAAATTTTTAATTATTTTTCAATTTTTGAACTATTTTTGCATAAACAAAAGTACAAAGCAGTGAAAGTCATTAATGGGCAATCGTTCGATGGGTTGAATTGCACAAAATGCATGATCGCACCGGCCAGTCTTGTGCGCTTTGCTATTTATTTTTTTTGTTTCTGCGCTTCTTTACTAATAAAGAATTGTTTATTAATTTGGTGTGCATGTCCCCCACGCCGCGTTGACCGCCGGCCGCCCTCCTCCTTGTTACAGTGCGGTGCCTCTGTTTTTCTGCCAGATCTTGCGAATATTTATAGAAGTTTGCATTGCAGTTACTCGGACTCAACGAATGCAGATGTTTTGTGGCGATATGGCCGAGTGCTACTCGAAATCGCCCTATGGACATCGAGCGCCGATAAAAGTCGCATGGCAACATTCCTTGAAGTTTGTTTTTTTTTGGTACTTTTGAAGAGACTTCTGCTAAATGCAGGCTGCGACTTGCTTGGGTGTTATGCTGTTAGACTTGCCAACCATCAGAACTGTTTTTTTTTCCGCGATTCAGCTCAGCTGTTGTAGTAAATTGGAAAAAATATTACAGTTTTAAGGTAATTTCAACAAGGAATTAGCTGCCGGCATGTTAGTTAGGGAGACATTAGATTTGGAATTTTTTATGAATTATACAGTTGTTGGGCTGTAGCTTAGCGGCGCATCGGCTGGATGCCCTGGCTTTTCGAACTGGCTTATCGGCTCTTTTTGACGAGAGTTCAGGTAGTAGGATTCACCTTATATAGGCCGCTTCGCGCCATTACATGCCGTACCTAGGAGGGAGTCATGATGCAACACAGTGTTTTTTTCAGATATATATATATGTATAGATATATATATACAAGTTTTTCTTACAAGTTACAAACACCTAATATTTATTATTTTCAGGCAGAAAAGATGTGCAAAAAAGCGGTGGACCATGAGGATCCGCAAAATCCATGTCCCGAAGCACATAAATGGTAAGCAGCAGTACTTTACTTGATACATTTTTGCCGAGTTTGGCTGAGAAATCTGAAAGCTAATATATCCAGTCGTGGTCTGCGTTTAAAAATTTTGCGTATGAATTCTACCACGGTTTTGATTATAGCTGTAGAATTAGTTAGGTTTACTCTACGAAAGAAATGTTGTTTTTGCGCAAACTTTTTGTGTCTCTTTTTTTTTGCATATAAGCAAATATTGAAAAAGTAGAATAGAGGAATTGGGCTTAAGTATCATATGTAAGAAGACGTTTTACGATGCATTCTTTCTGTGTTTCATCCCTTAGCTGTAAGCACTGGCCGAACTTTGCATCCGAGTAGGAGTGGGAATCATCAGTACAGCCTCATACCCATCATATATTGAACAGTCATGTGACTAATTTGCAAGAAGGATATGCGAAAGAAAGAGAAAGCAGAGAGAGAGACAGAGCAAGCAGAGTGAGAGAGGAGAGGCAGAGCAAGCAGAGTGAGAGAGGAGTACTGCATTTAGGAACGGTCGTTACCTGTATAAGTGGGCGAGCAGCGTTGGGAATTGTGCGTTACTCGAGGATTACACGAGCAACGCTGGGTGTTTACTTGTATCAGTTGCCGTTACACGAACATTGTTGATATCTTACCTGTAATCTGATTTTCTCGTGCATGATACGGACAATCATTATATGTCGGTTATGACAACGTGTGGGTGTGTGCGTGTGTGTATGTGTGTGTGTGTTGCGTGCGTGCGTGTGTGTGTGTGTGCTTCTGTCACGCATTTTCAGCTCTATAACCAAATAAGCTAAATTTTGGGACTTCGATTTGGGTAGTTAATAACTTAGACTTTATCAGCCTCTTGATTTTGCTGGATTTCAGACTGCAAATCCCGGTAAACAGATTTGTATTTGTATTTTGAATTTGCATTTAAATTGTGTGTGTGAATGCAGATTTGCTCCCAATAAAAAAGAACTATACAGTTGGCTATTCATGCACAATACTACCGTTTCTTGTTTATTAACCCCTCCCAAAAAAAAAAAGAAACTGTGGCTGAGTATGACAGATTTGGAATTTATCATTTTTGCTTTTTATATTCGTTTTTTCATGTTTATCGATTTTTAGGTATGGAATTACACTGGCGAAATTGACCGACTTTCGTTCGGATAAAAAACTAGCAGAAGCGCGAGAGCATCTGGAAAGGGCTGTCCAACTGGACCCGAACGATGCTAGATCCTGGCAATATCTTGGTATGTGTTTTTTATTTTTCCGTTTTCGGCGTACTTTAACTTATCTACAATAGTTGATTCCAGTTTGGGGGACACGTTTTTGGCGCTTGCTTAATTCAGGATGTTTTTTGGAAAGGAATTAATTATCGTGGTTTTTAAAAATTTGGCAAAAATCCAAGAGATTCTGCTTTGCATTTGGTTCAGGAAATATTTTGAATATGAATGCTTTTCTGGCTTTCCCACTTGTTTGGGTCCTGGCTGCTTTTCCACGTCCCTGTCTTTTTATG